TTTAAATAATCCATTAATTCATAATAATCGATTTTTACAATTTAAATAATCAATTAATTAATTTTAATCGATTTTTACAATATAAATAATCGATTAATTCATAAAAAATCGATTTTTACAATTTAAATAATCCATTAATTCATAATAATCGATTTTTACAATTTAAATAATCAATTAATTCATAATAATCGATTTTTACAATTTAAATAATCAATTAATTAATTTTAATCGAGTTTTACAATATAAATAATCGATTAATTCATAAAAAATCGATTTTTACAATTTAAATAATCCATTAATTCATAATAATCGATTTTTACAATTTAAATAATCAATTAATTCATAATAATCGATTTTTACAATTTAAATAATCAATTAATTCATAATAATCGATTTTTACAATATAAATAATCAATTAATTCATAATAACCGATTTTTACAACATAAATAATCGATTAAATAGTATTGACTTCAAACCACTGATCTGAATAAAATTCTAATTGATTTTTAGTAAGTAAATAATCGATTTTCGGCCACTGTTCATCATCTTCTTCCTCGGGTCAGTTTTAACATTATATAACCATGCCTTATATAGGAGAGAATGGAAGGAAGAGGCCAGGGGAGTTGCTATTCGTGATGTAATTGATCGGCTAGTGCGCCTGGCTGCGTTTCCGAATGATTTTAAACGCAAGTCCTTGATTGGGACCAATTTTGGTTCCAGTCGGGGTACACTTTTTTGTCCAACTTTCTCCGAATTGAATTCCGTTTGCACCTTTGCGATCGGATAGTTAAACTCTATCCAACGATATGATTTTTATATTCATTCGTTATACTTTTTCCGACACCACATTTTTGGGTGTTTGACTTTAACAGAGTAAAAATTGGTTTAATTGACCTTTCTCATAAAATGTTCTCTCATTTAATTCATATAATACGCAGGCCGTATTATAATCAAATAAACTATAGCCACAATCATCCACCATGCATATCATACATCCACACAAGCAATAGAGATATACATACACCGGGTGAGCCGCGCTCACCCCAGATAGTCCGAGAGAAATACTATGGTAGTAAATATTTTCTAAAACTCATAAAATTAAATTAGATGTCCAAAATAAATCTAATAAAATTTTATAAATATCATTTTATATACTCTGGATATTCTGCCATCATAAAAAATCCAAAATATTCCAAATGACTAAAATGCCCCTTTTGCAAAATTATTTTCGAAAAAGGCAATTTAATTCCGAATACATTTTGAAAAAATCATGAAAATTAAATTTAAACTACCATTAATTATTTTCAACATTTATAAACCTGGAAATAAAATTTGAAAAATTTATAAATCATTATTTCTAAAATATATTAGTTAAATCTCAATAAGTTATAAAAAGCCATTTTAATTATTTTCGAAAACATTAAATTATAAAATTTAATATTTTGAAAAATATTCTTTTTATTAATGAGATATAACTTTCCAAAATATATATTAGTCATTTATGTAATTAAAATACAAATATATAAATATATATAATTCTTCGGTAAGAACCGAGTAAATATATAAATATATATTTAGTTAATTAGTAACTAATATTATTTTGTACAATATATTTATCAAAAACCTTATTTAACTTAGAAATAATATTTCCAAGTTTAATAGAGTTCATTTTGAATTTTCCCATATTTATTTTCGGTTTTCACCTAAATAAATACAATAAATTCAAAATAGGAAATAATATATTCAAAAATTACAATATAATTTTATCAATCATAAAAAAATGTTTTATGTCCAAATAAAATTATATTTAGTA